TATTAGAGGGCCTCGAGCTCCATGGATAAAGTACTTGCTCCATGCTAGAAGAATTCAGAAAGGTCAATAGGCCTACCTACTCTCCTATTGTTGCTTGCACAAAACTGATTCTTAGCATTTAAGATTGGTATAGTGGGAAGAGGAATTGGAGTCAGATAGATGTGTGAGTTAGGGGCAAACACTGACCATGAAACTGTGCTCAAAGTAAGACAGTGAATGTGTAAAGAGAACTGGCTCAAATATAGATGGCCTAGGTTCAAATACTGATTCCACCGGGAAATGACTCTTTGTTGGGCATGTAGCATATCCTCCCGAAGTCTCAATTCCTTACTCCCCTTATATAACTGTAATTAAAAGAGATAATTAGCATATGAAAGAGTCTGGCAGAGAGTAAACATATAAAAACACTTAATATTTCCATTATAAATGAATTAGTAGTAGAGTAATAGTAGTTAGTCATAATTATCAACACCTGTCTTGCAAGAATATCCTTCTAGGCTTATATGAGAATCAACTGACATAAAATGATATGGGACCTAGGAAATACTATGCAGATTCAAGGTGTTAATAATTATAATAATATCCAGTTTATTTTTGTTTTTGTGTATTATCATGTGCTATTTCTCAAATATACTTTATTCCTGAGATTCCAGACAATAGTATCAGGGACTGGTTCACACTCTGAGCATAGAGTAAAACTGAATCAAATAATAAGCAGGATAAAGAGGGGCTTGTGAGAAATCTCTGGGAAATATGAACCCTATCACTGCCTGAAGCAGGTTCCTTCACACTCTGGGTTTGCAGGACTTCCAGGTCACCGAGCATTTTTTGTACATGCTGTTTATTGGAGCCAGTAGGTATTAAATTATTTCATCAAGCAGTCCTGTAACTTTGCAGCTCCCTGGTGAGTCTTCTAATCTCAGATTATGTTCACCCATCGAGCCATGATTGCTGGAAGGGTTATTACTATTTCTCATTATACTATCTCCTGAGTCCTCTTTTATCCCTTTGTTAAAATTGTTCCGGTGAGAATATTTTTTTTAATTCAAATTGAATTTCCTTTTTGACTCCCTGCTTTGATGTCATAGGGGTCCCCGATCCTAAAGATCTCTTAAAAATTCTAAAGGAAAACAAAGTATGTGGGTTCAGCAAGATTTTTTTATTTTCTTGAGCCAATAATTTCATTTTATTCTATCTATTCCATATGTATTAATCAAAGTCCTGGGTCAGGTCCTGCAGATGGGGAGAGTATGTGTGTGTGTATGTATGTGTCTGTGTGTGTGTGTAGTAGGGAATAAGGATCCAACTCACTGAATTATGTTGAGCTAAATTTATAATGTCTTTTGTATAAAATGCCATTAAAATTAACAGGCCTTTTTCCCTATGTGTTTGAACACCAGCCTCTGTTTCATTGGTCTTTTCCACCTCTGCTCTCAAACCAGGTCCTTCTTTTTTTTTTTTTTTTCCCTTTCTTTCATTGATTGACCTTCTTAAAATATGGCCATTTACTATGCAGTGTGGAAGTGAATTATACATGAAAGACCAGAACAATCTATCAGTGGTACATTTTTCACTGAAAAACTGATACGTGGAGTCCTCCTTGGGCATACATAGGGGTTGAGCTCCCTGCGTGGTATTTATGTCTGAAAATGCTCTCCCAGTATCTCTCATCAGACATTATTTTGGCCTCCTGAATATTCCCAACCCTTACCAACTAGAAGCAGGAATTGATCAGAGAACAACATTTGACGCCTCATTCACTCTTCTTCCAGACTCATGCATTTTAATAGACCTTGCAATTTATCCATCCCAACAAAGACACCATTTCACAAATCCCAGGCCAGGAGACTAACAGAGTATTCTGGTTCCAGTGTATAAAAAAGATAAAAGGACATTGAAATTTCTAGAGTAATATAATCAATGATCAGAGATAGGAAATCAAGGTCTTTCCCAGAAAATTTTGGATTTATGTTTTCTATAACAAGTCGACCTAGAATGTATAGTTTTTATATCATGTTCTTACTAAGAACAAATAAAAACAAGAGACAGGCCATGAAAGGTCAACAGCTTATTGTAATCTTCATGAGGGCTGGACTATTTTTGTTTTCCATTACAATATACCTAGTCCCTGGCACAGTTCCTGGCACTGATTATGAACTCAATAAATATTTCCAGAAGAGAAAGGGAGGGAGAGGCCAGAGCCACAGAAACCATCACACTCACTAAATCCTGTGAAGCAGAGAATGATAGAAGCAAAAGATTTCTGAAAACACAGAAAGCAAAGCTCCAGACTCCTGTTACCTTGCCCCTTAATATCTAGAGTACACACCTTCGTGTAGAAAATTGCCAGGGAATTTTCTTTCCATAAACCCCTATATAACTTTGTCTAAACAGAGGATTCCATCTGTTTTCACTACTCCTTCCTGGTAACTATTCTTAGGAGGGGATAGCATATTTAAACTTGCTAACTACCCAAAAGTCATCATCTTATGAGACAGATATCACATACTTCTATGGAAACTTATTTCTAACCTGTTTCATGGACTAAATATTCATCACACATTTCCTACGTGCCAGGCATGACTCTAAAATCTTAACATGTGATAATTCATAGAATCCTCTTCAAAAATTGTAATGTACCTATTATTAGCAGTCTTTCACCTAAAAAATGTGAAGGAATCTCAGAAGAGATTAATTGAACATCTACTATGAGCCAGTCATTATCTTTAGAGGTACCAAAACAAAAATGAATGATGTATGGCCTCTCACTTCAGGACATTCCCAGTTTATTGGGATAAGCAAATATATATTATTATATAAATAGCTAAGATAAAATAAGTGCAATACTTGCATGATCATAGTGTAATTTACTAACACAGACACTTTGAGTTCCGGGATACTCTGATCCTACACTTTGCTCCATTATTATAAAGTTGTATGATCTTCGGAAAGTATTAAATTGTTCTGTTTTATTTCCTTCATATGGTTAATGAAGATGATGTTTGTATTTGTCCCCAAGGTTTGTTATGGAGAATAAATAGAAATAATGCATGTAACTAGCTAGCACATATTAATTTCTTAATAATTAAGTGATAATAATAATTATTTTTACTAATAAGTTTGTTATTATTTTTTGCATGGAAGTATTATAATAAATTATCTACTGGTGAGTTAGAGCAAATGTCATAAAGAAGATGTATTTGAGATGACTATTTAAGAATCAGTAGGAACCGTCCCAGCATTGTAGCAAAAGATATGTAATCCTGACAGTTGAAATAGCATGTGTAATGATTATCAGAATAAAATTGAATTTTCTATAAAATGTCAACCTCCAAATTATTAATAGAAAGAAACATGGATGCATCCTCTTCCTGTTGACCACAGTGAGACCTGTATTCCTTAGTAAAAGATGAATTACACAATTTGGATCATTGATCACACAGAGATTCGTTGTCAGCTTGACTTTTAAGATTTGCCAGGTATTAGAAGAGCTTATTTATAGAAAGCAGATGGCTTTTTGTCATTTAATTCACTGAAATTTACTTAGTATGAGGAAGGAAGAAATCAAGCTGGCTCCATGATAAAAGCTCTCTAAATACATTAGCTCCTTGAGTGGACTGCAGAGCGACCAATAGAATGCTGCTTTTAAAACGAATTAGCCTTCTTTTATGTTTTAGAAGAGATAAGACCAAACTCCTCAGCAGTGAATGATAACATTAGTAGAAGCAATTTCAGAATTTGCTTTATCAAATGCTGAATCCTTTCTCATCCCATTGACCACGGGGGCTGCTTTCCTTATATGATGCCTTCATTGCTTTCCTAGAATGTACCAAGTTCAAACAACAGTGCCTTATTTCAAACCCCAGACCCACTCCATTCCTATTCTCAGATCTCTGCATCATTTATCTACATTTTATTTTTTGGTTTCAATCAAATCCTAATTGACTGCCTTCTGTTTTTCTGGCATTACAAAGCACCTTTTGCTGTTTTTCATAGTAACACATTCTTTCTGCATCCTTTTTCAAAAGGCTGCCCCAAATTACTTATCCAACTGTTATGTTTTCATCAAAAATTTCATTATGACATACATAACCCAGATGAGTGCATTCTTTCTAGTCTATTGGCCTTGGTCTCTCCTTCTGCCTTTTCTCCCTTTCTCTCTTCCTCCTAACCACTCCGTATCAATCAGTCACTATTTAAGAGTGACAGAAAGAACAAACATTGGAGCCCATAGTTTTGTGTTCTGATTGTACTTTTATTTACAACTTGTAAATCTGGAAAAGGGCATTTTTTCTCTGTAATTGTTTAATCTGTAGATAGTTCTAACTACCTCATGGAATTGTTGTGAGGAATAAATAAGATAAAGTGCTAGAAAAGAAAAACAGTGCCTGGAAATACAGACTTATTACTACTATAGTTGTTTTCATTCAATATACAATATTAAAATGTAACTAGTTTCCACCACTGACAGGTATTAGGGACACAAAGAATGAAAATGATCAGTATCTTCCCTGAAGGAGCTCACTGTCTAGGTTTGGAAGAGCTCAGGATGAAAGCTATGCTTGAGTGGGAAGACAAATACTGAAGAGTGAAATACAATGCTTTAATTTTCTTAAATAATTTTTGACCACATCTATTTGCAAGGGAAGGCAATTGTGTCTTAATCTGCATGCTCTTGAAAAGGCTAGAGTTGCTTATCTGGAAACCTGAATTATATTGTAAGACAGCTCAAAGGATCACTTTAGTAACCTCCAGCAAGACAAAGGATCACTTTAGTAACCTCATTGGTTTGCATGTGATTAATACCATAAAGAAAGTTAAGATGCCTAGAAGACATATATTCACCTCCAAAACCTTATAGTAGCTTGGAGTAAGAAGAAGAAATAAATTTCTTATAGGGTAAGACAAGGCTTTATAGAGGGACATGTTAGAAATGCCCATTTTGTCCCTCCCCACCCAAAGAAAAGACTGACTATGATGGTCCATGCTCATTACCTGCATCAGAGCTCCCCAGTAGAGTTGGTCAAGACTTCGGCAAGTCTGAATTACAGTTTGATTTCTCACTTTGTCCAATTCTGCTTCTTTCTACTTCCTTTTACAGGTTTTGATTCCTGGTGTGCATCTTCTACACAGACCTCCGTCTCAGTGTCTATATCTGGAGAAACCAATCTGTAACAGAGAAACTTAAATATAGAAAGGTAAAGACATTTGTTTTAGACGTAATGAACTTTTCCAAGGACACTTCTACATATCTTGCAAAAATATTTCCTATTTATAACATATTTATAAGAATGCTATGGCATTCCTCATTCCTAAAAGAATGGCAGAGCAGAATGCATATCTTAGCTGATTTTGTTCAACCTGGAAGAGGCCAGGAATAGTCCAAAACTAATTTCTCCCATAGGTTAATCATTGTTCTTTGACTGTTGAAGTCTACTATTCCAAAAGTCTGTCTTCTGCAGCTCTGCTTCAAAAGGCACTTTGACAATGACAGTGCTGATAGATGCACAACACTGTGAATGCACTAAATGCAACTTGACTGTACAGTTTAAAAATGATTAAAGTGGTAAATTTTACATTATGTGTATTTTACCAGAATTAAAAAAATATATATATGTTATAAAAATGGAAGAGCTCAAGCCTTACACTTGGAGAAAACCAGAAATTGATCTTTGGAAGTTGGTTCAAAATAAGAATTTATTATAGCATGTTGATTAGGAAAGTTGGGCATAAGAATGGGATGAAATATATGTTAACAACATACACTTTATGTTATTACATAAAGTGTTAACAACAGAGTAGTGGAATACTCCACTCAAGGAATTCTCAAACTTTGGCTGAATATAAGAATCACCTGGGGAAGGTTGCTAACAAGCCTATTTTCCACTACAACCCCAAAGCAATTCAATCAGAGTCTCACAGGCATCAGGTTTTTTAGGCCCCCAGGTGATCCCTTGTACAATCAAATTTGAGAAAGTCTGTGCTATTTCCACACCTTTCACTAGCGAATGCAGTCCATCCTTAATGAATCTTATTATATACAGAAATTCCTAATTGAGAGATGGTGTGAAAATGACATAAAAATCTCTTGTCTCCTAAATTCTGATGGTGTCCTCTAGTTGCCCTAATCCCAGGAGGGAGGATGAAAGAAAGATGCTTCCATGCATGAGAATCACCTTGGTAGAGCAGTAAAAATATTATCAATGCTCAGTTTGCCAACAACAACCCATGGCTAAAAACCCGGAAATATGCATCTGTTTCCTGACTATAGACTGGGCTCACCTCCTGTTTTATCAGCAATACCGCAGTAGCCCTTAAGCTGGTTTTCGTGCTTTTAGTTTCTTTTTCTAGCTGCTTCCACTGCTTTATCTAAACAGCCCTCAGAGTCATCATTCAAAAAAGCAATTCAGGTCTTGTCATTCTCCTGCTCAAAACTTCAATGGCATTTTTCTTAGGCTTTATAATAAGTGGATGATCTGCACCTGCCTACCTCTACAGATTTATCTTCTCATCTTTAAGACCCTCCATAGGACTTTTTCTCATCCAGTTGAAAGTACTTCTCATTTCCTCTAACATCTCTCTCTCTCTCTCTCTCTGTGTCTGTTTGTCTCTCTCTCTCTGTCTCTCTGTCTCTCTGTCTCTCTGTCTCTCTCTCTCTGTATCTCTAACTCATACATCTCAAGAATGTGACCCATGCTATTTCCTCTGACTATTAATAGAATGCCCCTTTTCCACTTGCCAAGTCATCCTACTCACCCTTCAGGTCTCAGATTAAATATCCTTCCTCAGGAAACTCTTCCTGACATGCCGCAGCATCACCTAGCGGGAAAAATATAAGTTAAAATTTTAAAAATAAGGCAACAGGCATGGTTAAGACATAGCAAAGCATACATGTTAGATTTTTTTTCTTCCTTTCGCCCTCAAATTTAAGAGAGAGTTTAGTAACATACATCTCTTTTGTTCACCACTTCATCACTAGGGTTTAATATTATGTCTGGTGCTTTGATAAATGTGTCTTCCCCTTCATGATGAAGTAACCTACTGATCTTAACTTCCTACAGCAGAAAGCCCTAAAGAAATGAAGATTTCATAGTACTCTGAGTTGTTGTGTCTTTCCATTCCAGAGCAATGTCTCTCCATTCTCAAATTTGATGGAAAATTTCCTGAGAGTCCCTGAAGTCTGAGATTAGTCACAAGAGGATTAGACCTTTAACTAGAATGATGATAGCTTGAAGAGTGGATGATTATAACCGAGCATGTCACAAGGGGACTCACAGAGTTGGCATTTGAAGATTTGTTGAAGCAAAGTGAATACCCCCCCCCCACCCCCATCAATCTTGATAAAGGTCAGATTATAAGAAATAAAAGTAAGTACCATTTAACCCAGTAGGTAGCATATCTATACCTCCATTTTCTCTAAAGCCTGATAATATAAATAGTTTAAAGAGGATTCTGACAAGTTAACTGATCCAGAATACAGTAATATATTAATATGTGCTACCAGGATACCATCTTACCATGAGCCTTCCCTCAGCCTTTTTTTTTTTTTTTTCACTCCTTCAAGTTGAGGATCTGAAGACTCATTTCTCCCAGACTCTTGGATCTGCCTTTTTCTTATTAATACTTCTTTTAACTACTGCCTATAAGGCCAATAGGCTGAGTTGTATGAAGAAACCCACCAATTACTTTAATAAAATGACACAGTCCTCCAAACTTTTTGAAGAAGAAACAATCCTAATGATAAGAGAGAAAGTGAATATTATAGTCCCAAGTTCTGCTTCTAAAACATGTCTTGTCTTTATAGATTTCCCATAAACTTCAGTATGTTCCTCTCTAACCTCAAGGCTATGGCATAAGTGCACTTTCAGATACCTCAGATACCTGGGCAAAAATATATTAGAAACATCCCAAATTCAATTACTTAAATTGTAAGAGAGGGTGAGATACCTCTATGCTTTAGTTGCATTCAGGAGTCAATAAGTCACAGCTCACAGGCCAAATCTGCAGCCATCCAGTTTTATAAATAAAGTTTTATTGTCACATAGCCATGACCCATTGTTTATGTACTACCCACGACTACTTTTGCCACAAAAGCAAAGTTGCATGGTTGAGACAGGTATTGTTAAAACAAACTAGCTCTTTGCAAAAAATGTTTGCTGACTCCTGCAGGATTACAAGGTTCTGTTGCATTTTACCAATTGGCTTTAGCTATGGGGTTTTAGGAGAAGGACGTCTACTTTCTGAGGCCAGTATGGTAGAAGCAGTAGTAGATAGTAGCAAACAGGTAAGGAATAGGTTGTAGTAGGTGGTCAGTAAGAGATCTCAAAGTAATATTTGATTGTGAGGCAGAAGATTTGGGGGTTTGGGGCACCCTATCCAAAGTTAGCAGTAGACAAAAATATTTCAATTTGAGAAGGGATATTGTATTGATTGGGCACATTTAATCCAGTCAATAGATTACAGACATGAATGAAAGAAGGAGGAGAAGAGGTTTTAAGAAGCTCATTGAAAGCAGAGATCACATCTTATGTCTATCATTTTTTCCAGGACTTAAACCAAGCATACTCTCTGACAAAGTCATTTCTTTTTCTTCAAACAATTACTGAGTACCCAGTAGTTAAAAAACAAATTTGTACTAGCTTACTAAGTAGTTCAATAAGTGAAATTTAAAACTTAATTCTTAGAAATAACTGTTTATTATTTATTTTTGCTATTAATGAAAATCTTTTTGAAAAGTTATACATACATCTAAAAATTATACATACATCTAAAATGAAAGAGACTTAGAATCACTTAATAGCCACTTAACCTTGGACAGGTATCTTAACCTCTTAGTGACTCAGTTTCTTTATATGTAAGACTGAGATAATAATAGTTATTAATTTATAAATTTATATGTGAAAGCCATAAAACATTTTTGAATAAATGTTTTTTATTCATAAAACATTCAACCTTTAGAGCAAATACTTAACCAGAACACAACAATAAATCTGTGGTTGCTCTTATTAAAAGATGCATTCAGACCCATTAAAATATATGTGTTAAACACAATCTTACTAATAGCCACATCCCAGTTCTTCAGACTTGTCTCAAGGATGCCATTATTAGTGGCAAAAATGAGCAGGTCATTGGTCTCACTCAATGGAGCCATTTCATTGTCTGTTATATTCTGTTTGTCTTATGGAAAGAGTGAAGATGGCTTTATCTGGCTTCTGCTTTTCATGAATTTCTTCCTTGTCGATGGCCTGATCTCTTCTCCACATTCAGTTTTCTAAAAATGAATTTCTTTTCTTCTTTCCCTATTATTTCTTGTTTTCTACAGTACCAAAGTTGAGATTGCATATCATAAATTTGGGCCTAGATATTGGCACCACACTTCGTAAACTTTAAAGCACTGGCCAGATACTAATTTTTTTATTGCTTTCAATCAATGGGAAAGTCCCTTGCTGTCTTGCCCCCTGTCTAACACCAACCCCTGAAAGATATTTCTGGTCTTAAAACATTCAACCTTTCTCCACTTGGTCTGTTATTTCCTGGTTTTATGCATTTTCAATAGCTTGTATTATTAGAAATCTAACCTTCATATATAGGAAGCATTACAGTATCTAAATAACAACAATAAAAAATAATAATAAAACCTTACTTTCCATACTACCTTATAAATGCTAAATCAACTTTCACAACAATAAGACTAAACTATAAGCTGGACCAGCAATCATATTTTATGTTATCTTCGCAACCCAAGAACTTGCTTCCTACCTGGTAATTAGAGGGTGCTCAATAATTTTTAAAATGTAAATGCCATCACAAAAGACCTATGAGGGATTCAGGTAAGGGACTGTTTCTTGTACACATATGAAAAATAAACTTATCAAAGTAGTAAAGAACACACATAACTAGAATTCACTTATTCTAATTCACCATTCAGAACTCTTTCTAGTATATTAGTGCTCATAAAAACAAAAGCAAAAGAGGATGGTTTCTCATTGATATCCTCATAATGTCATTGTCAATGACAAGATGCTAAAATAAATTGATTGTTATTGTAACCTACCCTGACATAATCAGGTACTCCATATTCAGTTGAGAAATCTGAGCTGCATTGATTAATATGGTAGCCATTTGCCACATGTGGCTACATAAATTTAAATTAATTAAAATTAAGCAAAATTAAAAATTTAGTACCTCACTTATGTTAGCCACATTTCAACAACTCAATTACCACATGGGGCAATGACTGCCATATTAGACTGCAAAAATATACAGTATTTACAGTATACAGTATATACAGTATATACAGCATTACATCAATGCAAAATGTTCTAGAAGATGATGGGAAAACTCCATTCATATATATATTTAATAAATATGATTTGTTGGCATGACAGAATAAAATATTTCATCATTGTTTTTTTTAAAATGTGGTATATGCACCCCCATAATATTAACATGCACTCACATTTGAGTTTGGGGTTTCTGTAGGAACCACATGCCACTTTTGTTTACTAATAAAATAAAATGTCTGTTTCTTGTTCCCTCATGAAGGTATCAGAAAATTTACACAAAACAAAAAATAAAATTATTTTTGGTTTCAAGTTGGAAGGAAATGACAGATTAATCTAAAACTATTTTCTTCCTTTTCCTTCTTTGAATCTGCAAACAGTTCTTATGAGCAGCATTTACTAAGAACCTGAAATATGCCAAGTATGATATTACATGCTAGGGATTAAAGGAAACCAAAAATATTTCACCCCAAAATATATTTCTTTGACATATTTTGAAATGGCTGTTAAGAGGACCTGCAGACAGGAATAGCTCTGCACAGTCGCTTTTGTAGAGAAGATTGGCATTTGTAGAGAAAATCTGCATTTGTGAAATAAACAGCCACGTTTTCTCTGTCCCCCTACACTCACCCTTTGTCCCATTCTAGGATGGATTGGCTCCTGGAAGGGAGAAAATGAGACCCCAGAACCTTCAGGGGTCTGATCGAAATTTATTCTTTCTGAGCGCTGCTGCCTGTGAGGTTTCATCAGCATAATGAGGCCATCTTTGCTAGCCACACCTTTCCTCTTCTCTGAACTGGTCTTGACATGCTTCAAGCCCTAAACTCTTTCTGAACCTAAGATTGGTATAAAACTTCAACCATCTGGAACTTTCTTTGAGTTTTTCATATTTTGCATGATCGCTGTGCACATGTATGAGCGTTAAGAAACTTTGTGTGCCTTTTCTCCTGTTAATTTGCCTTTCACCAGTTGATTTTCAGTGAACCATCAGCGGCCATATGGGAGGATTTCCCTTAACCCCTAGTTTTGGCGCACTGAGCAGAATAACATATCACTTTGTTTGTTCCAGAGCCTACAGATGGAATTCTGGGCCAACTAAGGAAGAGCTGACAAAGAAAGGTAAAAATTTTTTTTACCAAGTTAGTTTTCCCAGATCTCTGCCCGTAGAGCCCAGGTCAAATGATGGTGGTAAGAGCCTTTGTTTTTTTTCCCTTTCCAAATTGGATTAACACGAAAAAAAAAATGAATTTGAACTAGTTCACTTATGGAATACATAAATTGGCTATATTTAAAAGAAAACTTTCATAGAGAGTGCATATCTGAAATATCTATCATATTGTACCTATATTTAAAAAAAAAATAAAACCTCCCTTGGCGAGATTCAAAAAAATAAAATAAAAAAAGAAAGGAAGCAGAAATCAGTTTTAAAGCCAAATTAAAAATTCTTTATATACTCAAACTACCCATTTGGATACTCAATAGCAGTGGTCCTCAAGTTTTTTGGCACCAGGGACCAGATTCATAGAAGATGATTTT